CAATCACAGTCGAATGTGAGAAGAATAATCGACTGTGATTGGTTAATTTCTTACTCTTACTTCTTACTCCGTGTATTGTAGACGACGCCTTAGAGGTCTGTTTTCTGTAACTGAATCAGTGCATGATGTAAGAATATTATTAGAATATATATTCTTACATCATGTACACTTTTGGAACTTGAAGTGAAAGGGTAGGATTTCATTTGTGCATTATTGTCGTAGGGTAGAGAGATCCGAGGACCTCTCTATTTTGTATACATTTGTCGTACCACAAAAACGCACAAATGAAATCCCACCCTTTAGCTGACTTTTCTTACGCAGGACGCTGCGACAGCAATTCGTTGTTATTGGTTAAAAATTTTACATGAGTTGACGCACTTCCGACGCAAAATACATTTTGCCGCATCTCATTGAAGTTCAACCGAATGAACAACGAGCAATAAAGAATTCGAGAATGTCTGCAATATTTGCAAAAAATGTGAAAATTGAGTACGTTTACAATGAGTACATACGATGAGTACATTTTTATTAAGATTTGAAGTGATGGGAATATTCTAAATTCTAAATAATTACCTGAAATAGTAGTTGTTCAAATTGTAACTGCACTAACAGTTGCCATATAATCACGAGTTTTTATCTTTTTAAGTTTTCCATATTAATTTTCGAGCTATGCAAATAAAAGATACGTATTTGAGGTTAAACCTTAATACATATGCTATTGTCGATATTCCTTTTCACTTCAAGTTCCAAAAGTATACACTGATTGAGCCACAGAAAACAGACCTCTAATGCTGGATTCACACTGTATCCGATTTTTGTCGTACGACGCTCTTCAACCAATCGGAAAACAGAATTCCGATGATACGAAGCAAAATCCATCGGAATCCTGTTTTCCGATTGGTTGCAGAGTGTCGTACAACGCACAACGGATGCAGGATGAATCCAGCATTACGCTGTACGCCGTACGTTGGCCAATAGGACTTCACCTTAAATTTTCCTCGGAGATGACGTTTTGGGCTACGTTCCAAAACTTTCTCTCCGAGAAAGATTTTACTTTATATGCTATAGTATATGTTACGTGTACTATATATTCGAGTAAAATTTTGGGTGGCACCCAGTTGGACACGGCTCAATTGGACACGAGCCACTCACAGCGCTTGAGACTACAAAGCTCCTAACCACCGGTCGCTGTGATTGGTGGCGTCCAATCGAGACGTGGTCAATCAGGATCACCCCAAAATTTTCCTCGGAGAGGAAGTTTTGGAACGTAACCTTGGACTGTTCTGCTGGACAAAAAATGGCAGTGAAAACACTGCTTAAGCATAACTACAAACCAACTGCCTCTTGAGTTTGGCTCTCTTTTATTGTCTTTATTTTCGCAGACGAGACGTCGATGTCAAAGTCGCCGCGGCAAACGCAATTTCTTCGATTTCAGGTGAGTGTAATAAAAATCGATATTCATTGTTCATCATCGCAAGATTGTATAGTAACCTTTCATATATTTTTGCGTTTTCTTCAATTTTTTAAAATAGAATTACTCACTCCAGAGCATCTATAGAAGTGATTTCAACTTACGATTCGTGCACGAGAAACTCACCGGAACGATAGCGCTTGAAACATAACCTGATTTGGCAATGTGATTTCGACTGAATCGTTTCGCGTCACATAAATGAACTCTATAAATGTATCCGATTTTTTTTTATCTTATTTTATATTTCGCGGGAAATAAAAATTCATATATTACAGTTTACCACGTAATTTTGAAAAGAAGACTCTTTTCAGTTTGCAAATGAATTTATCATTTTGAACTGTCCAATGTCCAATGCAGTGGAAATTTTAGCTTTTCTTTGTTTCTTATAGCTACATTGGTTGTAGCATTATGCTTGTACAAAATTTCATTTCCAAATATATTAAATGTTTATATTTAGGATAATATATTTATTTTATTGTCACTGATATGATTTCTTCTTTATTTATATATAAAGTACGTCAGATAGCAGAAATGTCAGGTAAGCGAACTGCAACAACAGAATTGAATCACGACAACTGGAATGAAGAGAACGAACCGGAGGATGCAGGAACGTTTGCGCTCGCTTCAAATGATATACTTGAGAAGAGGGTTATAAAAACAGCAAGGCGTCGTTTGCCATCGAAGGACGTAAGTATATGTCCTAACTATTTTTTTACCTGAATTTTCCTGCCTTTATCACTAGTCTATGTTAATTATTTCAGGGGATTCCTACAAAAAGTGCATTTGGGTCGTTCACAGGTTTCAAAACTAATCCAAGTTTATCTCCATTCGGTTTTCTAGCTAATACAAGCACTTCTAGTACGACTACTTCTACTGCATCAGCAACAAGTGTAAATACAAGTAACAAACAAACTGCTAGCAACGGGGCTCCTAAGATTCCCGAAAATGATACAGATAAAAGAGAAGAAGTTGCCAAATTACAAACGTTATCAAGTACAAGTACGAGCAAAAAAAATTTAGTTGAACAAGGAACTGAAAAGACAAGGAGTCATTCGTCAGATTATTATGCAAAATTGAAAGGACTAAATGAAAGCGTCGCTACATGGATAAAGAGCCATGTAGATGCAAATCCATTTTGTATATTAACACCCATATTTAAGGATTATGAGAGATATTTGAAAGAAATTACATCAAAAGAAGAATGTAGCAAGACTCAAATCTCGCATACTTCTTCAGAGCATATAACGCAGGGTGCAAAGAATGATATTAAAGAGATAAGTTCAGAAAAGAAACCAGAAAAGAAACCAGAAAAGAAACCAGAAAAGAAACCAGAAAAGTCACTGTTCGGGAATTCAAATGCGAATGCAAAGTCTACTTTAACCACAGGAACAGAATTAAAACCTGAGAAGTTAATATTTAACATCTCCACGAATCCCAAATCTATATTTAGTAATACAGATCAGAAAACAGAAAATCCCAAATCTGTGTTTGGTAGTACAGATGTAACTTCTGATAAGAATAAATCTGTGTTTGGTAGTACAGATGTAATTCCTGATAAGAACAAATCTATTTTTGGAAGCACAGAGTCGAACGTTGCTAGTAAAAGTGTATTTGGCAATGCAAGTGTGGAAAGTAGTCCCTTCGCAGACAAATCTACCGTTTCAGATAGTGGAAATAAAGACGAGGAGGAGACATCCTCCAACGCGAAGTCTGTGGCCCCTACCTTTCCCACTTTTAGTTTTGGACAGAGTTCTACTACCAGTAACGCGTCTGCTGGATTTAGTTTCGGAAGGTAATTTTTTCATTAACTTATTTACTATATCTTATATTGAACAAAATACAAAAACATTTTTATAATTTACAGTGCAAAGCCATTTTCATTTGCTCCTCAAGCAGTAAAACAAGAGAAAACCGAAGACAAAGCAAGCAATGAAAATAAAGATGAAGAAGATGAAGAACCGCCGAAACAAGAATTCAAACTAGTAATTGAAGAAGGTGCTACTTACGAACAAAGGTAAGTTGTATACATTGTAATTTCTTAACTTAGTACAAATATTATTATCAAAATAAAAACTACACAAAACTTTATAAAGAGTTTATCTTTATATTATAAAGTAACTCTCTTAATATATAAATTATCTCTTATCAAATATATATATATATATATATATATAGTATCAAATATATTTTTTTATAGGTGTAAAGTCTTCGTAAAAAAAGACAATGTTTATACTGATAGAGGCATCGGGATGTTGTATCTGAAACCAACACCGAATGGGAAGACGCAATTGATAGTACGAGCCAATACTGCTTTGGGTAATTTGTTACTCAATACCCTATTGACTCAAAGCATTCCCACGAAGCGCATGAACAAGAATACGATAATGTTGGTCTGCCTACCGATGCCAGATTCTTCACCGCCACCAGTCTCAGTGCTGTTAAGAGTGAAAACTAGTGAAAACGCGGATGAATTACTGGAAGCGTTGAATAAACATAAAAAGTAAAAATTACACGAAATTCGATTTACGTATTTGAATGACGTTTTTTTTTGACGTTATTTTAGAGCTTGAAGAATGAAGCAAACGCTAATCCATGGAATATTTGTTTATCAACGTAATGATTTTGTATTGAACTTTATTCTCATCATTCCATAAAATCTAAATTTTGCGATTGCCTAGGAACTTAACATGATCATGAAAAGCATGTATGATGTAAGAATACAAGGTGTTTCACTTTCGAGATACGCAATAGATGATCAGTCAAAAAATTAGCCCAAAATGTTATAAACCAATATAGAGATGATATTTTATTTATCCGTTTTTGTCGTACGACAAAGACTGCAGGACAGAGCGCGAGCAGTAACCTCCCGGAGAATATTCTCGTCAACAGAAATACCTCTCGAAAAATCTGCCATTCGGAATCTGCATTAAAACTAGATCCCATATGCTCGTGGCAATTGAATCAACGGGCGCATCACAAGCATATGAGAGAGTAACACAGGTCAGAGCTCTAACGTAAAAAGAAGAAAAAGAAGATAAGGGTTCTCGGATCTCTTTATCCTATAGCCAATCGGAAGGCTTGAAAATTTTGTTTTACGACAAAACGCAAATGTAATCCCACCCTTAAACCGATATTAGAAATTTATTACCAATCAGAAATTTGCACCAAAATTACATTCGATTACCATCATGCGCAATAAATTATCTTCTATTCTTACGTCATGAAGAATAAGCGAAGAAAATTTTTTTAGATATCAATGATAAATTTTTTCCAATTGTTATTTACAGATATTGTGTAAAAAGGTAAGCCTTTATATAAGAATGCAAAAATGGAATAGTTTCTAAAAAAAATGTCTAAGTTTACACGTATGACATTATTGGAATGAGTGTTGCAATTGTAATCAATAATGTAACAATAATAATTGGAAATATATGTACAGTATGTATAGTAGAAATATAATAGTGTATATTATGAACGAGGCAATTTGTGCTTGTAATAGCTGCTGAAATGTTCTATATGGTTAATTACAAAGTAATTGTACTACAGAAGTTAATTACAAGTGTAAAAGTATTATAGATTATATGGATTGCCTGATATCTTACAAAACAAACTTCATAACTTATTTATACTAATAATGCATAAAATAAGTCAAAATTTGACGTTCTACAAACATCACGTTTTAAAGAGAATTTACGTATTGTGAAATAGGTTACATTTAATAATCAGTGAATGTTCAGGGTAAGAAATATTCATTTTATAAATTATTAATCTTTTACTCTGTTATTTTGTTTATACATTTGTTATATTTACTTAATTATACGAAATTATTCTATTTCAAAAATTAGTCATTTTACTCAAAAGTATATTTTCTTTGGGTTGATTACACGTGATTCGAATCATGAACAATTATACATAAATATACAAATATCTGTATTAAAGAACGTATTATTCAGTGATTCAAATTTTTTAACGATTTACGTTCGTGAAAAGACTATCAATATAAATGGTTTTTAGATATAAATTGATTAAAAAACATTTTTTATTCGTGACAATAAATTTCGTTATAATTAGTTGAAACTTAAATTACACTTGCACTGCAAAGAGCCTCTCTTGTAACAAATTATATAGTTATCTATATGAATCGACTGTATACATATATATATATATATATACAAGCCAGAATTTTTTTAAATTTCAATGAATATAATTTACTATTTGCACATATACTATCGCAATTGACAGTAAATTGTCTTTTATATTTATGCCTAATCGAATAATACATTCAGGGACTCAGACTGAATTTACATTATAATTTAAAACTTCAGGATGATTATGATCAGTCAATGGCTACGCACGCAGCTTTCGGTTCCGGGGTCGATTCCAGTTTTTTTTAGTGATAACGGTGACTGTTACAGGTATACAATTACCAAAATCGAGAAAGATCGGAATCTAAATGGACCAACCCAAGTAACACAGCAGCGCTTGCAAAGCGCTAAAACAGCAATTATATGCACTTTATTTAACGCTTTGTTAACGCTTTGTAAGCACTGTGTGCTACTTGGGAATAACCGTTATGGTAAAAGAATTGGAACCAAAAGTTAGATTTAGCTTTAGACCGAAATTTTCCGGTCCGAGTTTTTGCATATAGAACATAAAATTCTGAAAAATTAATATTTTTAGATATTTAATATGTTCAATAACATTATCCAACAGTACACAAATGTTCCTCTAAGTGGCCTAGTTTACAATGTGCACTTGATATGGATACTAACTAGTAATTTTTTTTATTCAATTATCTTCAACAATGTAAAAATATACATGATATGTGTATTTAAATAATCATTTTGAGAGATACATGATTGATCAATTTAATACATCATTCCTTAAATACATAGCTGAAATAAAATAATTTAATAGAAAATTACTAGTTAGTACACGTATCAAATGCACGATGTAAACTAGGCCAGTATCTCATGAATGTGTCGTTAAAGAAACTGAAGAACTGATATATTCTGTATATACAAAATAGCTTAAATCTTATATATATATTGTGTAGACATGCACTTTACATGGCAATACATTATTCATGTAATCTATACAAGATGAGAAAATACAAGGTTAGAGTTTCTTGCTTTCTAAAAATATCGTGATACGTGATCGTCTGTTATACTGTACACTTGGTGAGAATATACGAGTTGTTCCATTTTCAAACTCTCTGCGCCATAAACGGCGTAAGAGGGCCCATCTGTCCTAGGCCTACTTGAATGTGCTGCATGTGAATTTCAACGCAGTTTTGAAACACTTGCTGATTCTGTGGACTGAGTTTCGATCTTATCTGCTCTATGGTACCTTGTAATACTTTGAGCTCGTATGCGTTTCGATCAGAATCTGATAAGCTCTGCGATAAAGGAAATAATGTTTTTAGTATCAGATAAGCGAGGGATAAAATAAATTCAATAAAAATATCCATTTATCTTACTTTCACTTGTAACATCAACGCAGTCAAATCGGTTACCAATTGATTCATTTTTCCTGGTTCTTTATCGCTCATTACGTTATTTTTAGCGACCATATCTGCCGCTTCTTGTTTGCATTTCTCTCGGAGATGTGACGGTGCCAACATTGCTGCCACACTAGGTTCGGGCGCCATTTCCTGACACAGTTCTTGTATCTCGTTTAAAAAGTCTTGGAGAGCTCCATTCATTCTCTCCAATTCGACAATAATTCTGAAAACAACAGAAAAGTATATTAAAAGTATGATATATATATATATATATATATATATATATAAAATTTTTAATGTCCCTTAAATATATTTTATATTATATATTACAAATATATAAAATATATATATATTTAATTAACACAATTCTTTATGTATTTAACTAATCGTACCCTGCATATTTTTTTTCAAAATCGGGAGGAAGCGATTCACCTAAGGAACGTCTCTTCTCAGCTTCTCCGTTCATTTCTTTCAATTTCTTGACTTTATTCTTCTTGGTTGTTAATATCTTATTCACTTTGACCATAAGTTCAAGTAACTTGAGTGGAAAGCCATTCACTGTACCACCGGTATTCGTCTTTTTCGGAATGGAGACAGATGCGTTCGATATTAAAGGGTCATTAGTCAATCGCGGAGATAATTTCATCATGTATGGTGATGAAGGTGCATATTGCAAAGGCCGTGGTCTGAACTTCTGAGAGAATGATGTCAAGCTGATTGTCTCCGGTGATTCATTCGACTAGTTGAAACAAATCATATATTAATATATAAATGTAAACGTAGACATTTTCCTCAGAGAGAATAAGAGACTTACCAAAACTTCGTAATCAGGGACACTATGCGTCCCAAGTCCAGCTCTCTCAAATGTAATTCTGTAAGTGTTATTACTGGTATCAACAGCATCAATGCTTCCAGTGAATAAACCATCTTGTGGTTTCCTTAATCTTGCTGTCACTTTCGTACCGATTACTAATTGCAATGGTATTTCAGGTGGCAGATCCTTGAAACTGCTTATATCTGCCGTCTTCCTCTGCTGTAACATTCGTATTTTCTGCCTCTTCCTCTCTAGTTCACGTCTCTCCTCCTCGAAGAACGACTGCGAACATCTTCGCGGCTTGCCCATCATCCTTCTAATCTTGCACCATTCCACGCGCGTGAGTTTACGACTTTTCAATTGCGGAAACGATTCTTTCAAGCATATCATGAAATCATTATCGCCCTCAAATAACACCCTGCAAAAAGAAACATTATATGGAATATTAGGAAAACCAATTTTTATCTCTGATATCATTATAAAAATCTATATTTTTTTGTATTATTTCATTAGTATTATTAACAAAATAATAATAAAAAATATAGATAAATATATAGACAAAATATAAATACAGTAATTATATTTTTATACATACTTATCTATATTGCTGTAAAACCACTCGTAACAGACCCATTTATGCGCCTTTGGTAGCTTTAATAAGTTTCTTAATCTCATGCCAATTTTTTGTCCTATTTTACGATCCGGCGATGTAAGTTGTGACAGTTTATCAGGCTCCTTCTCTTGCTTGATTGGAGTCATTACAGGAGTTGTTGGTTGCGATTGCGAAGATGAACTTGTACTTTTTGGTGTGGTCGACATCTTCGTCTGCCTCTTCACTGGCGACGGTCGCATCATCTTTTTGGGGGATTGTTTTGTGTCTATAGCCGAAGGATCCTTCTTGATTCTGTAAACATCATTATTATATATCAATGAATTGAAAAAAAAATCGTTTAATTCAGGACTGTCACAAAATTGAAAATAAGGGAAATAGGGATATTGAAAACAGTCAAGGAAATCAAGAAAAAGTCAGGGAATTTTGCAGTTTCTTGGAAAGTTAAAATTCTTGGCTTTAAAAAAGTTTAACGCTGCAATTATCGTTTTTCTACCTGTCTGATTAATCATAATTTTTATTTTTAATTACAAGAAGAATAATTCACCTGTGGTGTGGATGATTGATCAAGATGTCATCATAGAACAACTTGTTCTTTTTTCTAATTCTTGCTGGCATCCCTCTACGATTTAGTACCTGTACTGGTTGTGTAGGTGGATTGGGTTTGGAAGGTGGCTGAGTGCCTACCCTTTGCAGACCTAAAGCTGCAGGTCCTAGCTCCGGTATTGGTTCTGACTCCTCTGTATCCATTTGATCCGAGTGGTTCAAATTATGCTGCTCATCCATATCCATCGTATCATCTTCAATCTCAGTCTTGATTTCATCAATGGATGGATATCCACCATTTTTTATGGACAGTAATGCTTCCACAGATTCACCTGAACAAATTTGTTCAAAATCACTACATGCACATGCGATATTAAATGGAGAAATAATTTTTTCTGATATAAAATCCATGTCACACGTAGCACAATGATACATAAATAAAATTATTAAGAATTGTTCCAATAATTACATATTACCAGTAAAGATCGGCAATATTATATCTAAGAGTCATACAAATTAATATCACGCCGAAGAACAAAATTGAGAAATTTAAAAAAAACGCATATACTTAAGAGAGCTGAGACTGCATAACAATAATCGATGTATTCGCGACAAAATATAAAAGCGAGAATCCAATTACGGGCGACGAGAAAACGCATACAACCATTCCCTCGGTCCGAGGGTAAAATTTCGAGAGCGTCGAATTGGCGGTACGACAAATTCGCGAGGGAATATCGACCGTGCTCTATCAACACAGCAGGGACGACATAACCAAACTCAGGAGGGGATGATTGATAAACAGTCCGCGCGGGCGGTCGGACTCGCGGTGGCTGTCGCCGCAGGTCGACGCTGCGGATCGGCGTGACATGCAGGCACTACGCCGTCGGGCTCGTCCACGGGGTAACGCCGAACACGGAATTCACAGCGGAATCCCGCTTGAATCGTGTGTTGGCGATTTTTGAAATTTTAAACCCGATCCGCACCCAATCGCCGTTCGAACGGCGATTGCGGGCGGCACGGGAGTGCTGGTAGCGGCGCGGTCCGTCGAACCGTTAAATCGGGAACGCGGATTCCGCGGGCGTTGATCGCCGTGGCCGCCCGCGGACGCCCGTCCCGTTAATTTCCCCGAAAATAAACGCAAAGTTTACTCACTTTCAATCACGTCCGCCATGTTGACAATCAGTGATGCATCATGGGTACGTACTTCCGATTCTATCGGGTTCATCGGTCCGCCATCTCGTGTAGCCGGACCTGGTTGGCGATTGGCTCCGTCCCGGAAGTCGCACGACGCCTCGGCGTACGCGGGGTCGGTAAGGTACGCAAAAATCCGCGATTGCGATGAATTGCGGTGAATTGAGTGAACTGAGTGAATTCTCGATCTCCAGAATGTTCTGCGTGGCGATTAGTCGAGCAACAATGCGCTGCTTTTCCTCTTGAGATGTTAATACGCCCGTGAAGGATTCATTTCTCGAATCAATAAATATAATTATATATACAAGCCTTTTTGGTACGTATAATTAAGCGGCAGACACTTTAGCGGCGAAAATAAGTTAACTTCTTCGTTTTTTAATACGATTTTTATTAAGCTCGCGCGAGGAGCTCTAGTTAAAAATTTGAATCTCATGGTTACTCTTTTTCTTTGTTTTAAAGTGTCACTTAATAGCGTATTCGATTTATGCCCAATTTCTTCACCTCTAGATAACTTTACTCAAGAGATATCTCCCAGAATACAATGGAGAGATATCTCCTGGATAAGGTTATCCGCAACTTATCTGGAAGTGAAAAAATTGGGCATTATTGACTCAACCCGACTCCGAGTCAACGGTTTGTTCTTTTTCGCTGCATTTCTTGCGCAGTTTAGCTCTTCTTTTGCAGTTAAACAGAACAGACCATTGACTTGGAGTCGGGTCGGGTCGCTTCTATTAATAAACATTTGAATGTATAAATAATTCCGTTCTTTGTAGCTGCATTATAAGATGCAATTTCAATTAAAATGAAGAATGTGTATAATTGAACTTTTGAAAAGAAAAGGAGAAAAAAGAGAAAATAAGTGCAAAATTTAAAAAGTTCAGCTACAAAATTAGTTCGCACCCATTTTCTCTTTTTGTTTTTTTTTTTCAATGTCCAATTATGTACATATATACTTTATTTTAATTGAAATTGCGTTGTAGCTACAAAGAACGGAATTATTTATACATTAAAATGTTCATTATTAAAAATAATTTTGCAAGTTACACCTTCTGCACTTACTACGAAATAGGTGTATAATTAGTCAGTGGAGAGAGAAGAAAAAGAGATGAAAAGTGCAGCTGCATGCATGGGCATGCGCAGTTTCTTCGCCGTTTACTTCAAGTACTACGCTTTAATAGGCGACGCTTCTTCGTTTGTACTTTAATTTTCTTGAATTTTTCAAAACGGTGCTATGTACGTCATTTGGATCATTATTGCGTCTTTAACAAGTAGAAACTGCGTGGCTAATGATGGTACGCTTGTAAACGTTAACAAGTACTGCAGAGATAAAGACAGATTGATTACGTCTGAGGAGAATGACGAATATTTGCTCATCGCTGCTGAGAATAATACGAATATTATGCTAGCGTGTCGCTTTTGGTAAGAATTATTCGGATACACAATTAGAATAAATAAAATAATGCGTTTGTAAATCCACAAAAAAGCAATACTTTTTTTGTTTATTACTTAAATTAACCTTCCGTCTACTATTTGGATTTTTGGCACAAGCGAAATTTCGCTTTCTCAAAAATTTCTTCTAAAATCTTCGAAATAAAGGAAGGTGGAATCCCATTTCTCTTATTGCTAATATTGCTATATATTTTTAAACAAATTCCGTTTTTCTTCATTTTACTTAAATTTCAATTTTTATTAAATATAGGTTTTATTTAAGCTAAAAAACTATTTGGTGATGTTGACAAGTAACTCTGAATTTTTTCGTATTCTTTGAAAGCCTAGAACAAAAAATTTGAGCAGAACAAAGAAAATCCAGATTGCAGACGAAGAAAGTAAAAATATGATTGCAGGAGGATTAAACAAGTTTAAGAGTAATTTTGATCAAATTCTCATTTAATTGGTGATCAAATAATATGTATAGGAAGAAAAATTAAATTAGTAATAATCGTATAGTTATAAAATTTTGCTTTAAGCACTTCTGTCAATTGAATTTATTGTCTATTAAATTAATGAAGTTTAGTTAAAGTCACCTAATTTAAATTAAAGTTTTCTTTAATTAACTTAGTTAATTATTATGCTACATTTTTGGGACATAAGAAATATGTTTTCCTAAGGAATAAATTTCTTGATAAATTATTGGGAATATTGGGATCTAAATTTTCGCAGAAGCAATGACCATGAGGAACCTCAACCAAAAATTTGGTATTATCAAGATCATTATCGAGAAAACCCTGAAAAGGAGGTTGAGTTGGAAATGGATAATAACATTTCGTACAGTAGAATCTATACAACGCCAGATCTTTCTCTAGTCATGAAAAGTTTCACAGTCATTGACGTCGGCATTTATCGATGCCATGGCAAAGAAGGACAAGAGGAAGAAAAAAAATATAATTATAGGATCGAACGTAAAATAACATGGCAGTTGATATAATATTTGATTTTGTTGTAATATTACACTATGTTGAAAACATATTTCAACACTTAGCTTTACTTTTAATGACAAATTCTTAGTACAATTTTTTTACTAATTATGGTATTTGCCTTATTACAATTAAATTCGAGCTTTTAAAATGTTAACTTCAATTATTCCGCATTTATTATAATTTTCTTGATGTTTATTGTATATCCATATATTTCATCAATATTTATATTAATATTTATCAGTTCTGAATATTAAAATTAATATTTAATTTTGTTGGATAGTACTTCTCAAGGATATTGGTGGAGAGTTTTTAGAAAAGGGAAACATAACGGAATGGGGAAAGTATCAAGAAATATATTTATGGCCTGTCAATATAAAATTTGCAGTGAGTTAACGAGCTTTTAATCAATTATAAGAGAGATTACAAAATATACATTATGTCCTTTTATTTAAATATTGAATGGACGGAGAATTATTTTATTAGTAATTTTTTTAGGAATCATAACGCGTCATGACAAGATTAACTATTTTTTAAGTTAACGTGATTTCAAAGAAAGGAATTTTCCGGCAGGTCTCGAAAATGACTGACTTAGCGGAAATTCGTGAAGAAGGAGTAATCCTTCAGGTAATATCCGAATGGGGTCCCTGGAGTCCATGCGAACAGTGTATAAATAATCGCGGTATTAAAACCAGCAGGGGCTACTGTAGATTAAAGCGTAATATAAATTCGGTGAGTGCTATGTGTATTTTAATCTTTACATAATCAAACATTAACGATTTTATAGCCTTTTATCACCATTTTATTAATTATTTTATTAATATCTATTTTTAGACGATGTTAGAGAAAAATGATTCAGTCATTATATATTTCTTCCGAGAATCTCCGATGCTACCTTGCAAGTAAATGTCTATAATTTCAAATTTCTAACAGCGATTCTTTATATGGTAACATAATGAATTTAAAAAACGCTGTACATTCTCAGATCTGTCCTGCTTCAAAGTGAATTTCCCAGTATCAGTCGCATCGTACGATATTTACCAGAATTTATTTTAACAGAACCTTGCAAGAAGTGTCCACGCGTAAAAAAAAGGAAAAAAGGCGAAAAGTTTCGCTATGCCAAACGATATGTTCTCGCCGAAGGCGCGCATCTCGCCGTAACTTGTCCGGAGTAATTTGCCAAAAGATTTCTTGAGCGTATCTTTTTTATTAAATCCAATCAATCCTTTCGCGAATAATGAATATTTTATGTAATTAAACACAAAAATTGGAAACAGACGATTTATTTTAAACATAGATCGACTATAGAGACGCAAGTAATTTGGAAAAAGGACGCACTCACTTTGAAAAAGGGAACGGCTCAGTCATTTCGTCAAAAAGATAGAGAAGCCCGAGTGATGGTAGATACTTTCTCAACGCTTTATTTAACAGGTAACTTAACAGTACACATATATATTGACCTTTTAAATTTTACACAAACAATTAAAAATATATTCGTTTATTTATTCAAACGTATGACAAGAATTTAATAATTTCTATGTGTAAAAATTTTTTAATTACATATGTTTTCTCGATAGACGTGTCCCAAGAAGAACAAGGTAATTATACCTGCTATGTAGATAATATTAATATGATGCGCATGAAGATTATCGTTATATCTAAAACTCGGCTTTTGACGCAAGGTTAGTTAGAACTTGTACAATGAAAATACATATAATAAAACACATAAAATATAGTAACAAAAATAAAAATTTGATTATTAAATTATAGTTAATTGTGAAATGATTAGTATACATCATAAGTATGTCAATTTTTTTTATAAATGTATAAATTTATTCGTTTGTTGTTTTTTATAGCTTTCTTTCGGCATTTGGGCTATTTGGGATTCATAATTTTCTTGACTTCAATCTGCTATTGTGGGGGTATAATAGTAGTCTGTCGGCAAAGAAACAAATTTCAGCCCTTACCGCAAGATGATCCTTCGGAAGAGGAAGTTGAGTGATATCGTGATCAAAATGTAAATTATTTTGACACTATAAATTGATAATAAAATAATTACATATTATATGTTAGGTAAGATTTTTATCTTATTGTTAGATTATTAGTCTTTTTTCTTGTAAACCCGGGAAAAAATAATTTATATATAATTATATTTAATTATACAAAATTAAATAAAATTATATATAGTTATAAATCTTTACGTGTTTACTAAAACTAAAAATTTTTCCAAGAGAATATTTAATGATTTAAGTTTGCTTGTTGATTGAGACACCATTAATTGCATGTTTTTGTCATGAGCATGCATACTTTTAATATTAATGTGGATAAATCTGTTGACGTCTAAATTGTACGACTAGTTATCGGTCGAGAACGCTTCGTGAGACCTCGTGGCTATCTCTTTCGCGTTCCTTCGATCCGATCTTCTTCGGCACACAGTGACCTTAAAATTGAGTGAAAGGGGGAACTGGTAGAGACAGCTACAAGGCATACATATCTGTCTCCAGACAGTTAAGTTTAGTTCCAAAATGGCTGTGTTCTATCGTAGCTCCTGGCTCATTGTCTACAGTGTTTGTTAACAAACTAGTAGGCTCCAACTACAAAAAGACTGAATCCAGATTAAAAGTGAAATAGGATGAAACTTCAAACAAGCATCCAAGCGATTATCCTGACTTTCTGTATAATCGCGCTTCAGGAATGTGTCGGTGAGTTTCTATCGCAAGTCAAAGAACTTTCTCAATTATTTTATCTGCATTTATCTTAAAATTTTTTATCATACTAAATATCTTTTTAAAAAGTGACAACGTTTGATAATAGACGAGTAACTAATGATTAATAAATCAAGTCAGGTAAACATATTTTATGAAATTTCTTTTTATGAAATTTTTTCAAATTTAAATTACACATAAGGAAAAATTCGAAATTTTACAAGGTTTAATTAATACCTCATCTTTGGCAAAAATTTTTGTTTTGTTAATAAGAGATCTGAAGTACAGTATTTTATATGAATATTTATTTCTATATCTTATAAATAAAATAAATTTTCTGATTTAAATACAGATTAATTGTTATTAAATTACAAATCATATTGTACAAATAATTTTGCTTTATTCAATGCTAAATCATAAGAAAATTCTGCATATCATTATCGTTCGATGTCTATGCGGCACGAGTGAAATGACGCGGTAGCAGGTAAAAGTGACAGTTCCATTCGTCGCGTTATTGCAGGCATTCTTCGGAGATGCGTAAGCTGCAGATCGAGAGGAGACTTAGGCTCGTGCAAAGATCCTTTCACTATGAATTCCACACAAATCGCGCTCGAAAAAGGCATCGACGCGGTGCCGTGTGTTTCCGGATGGTGCGGAAAAATCATCGAGAGCCAAAATTTAAACAACGGTAAATTATTCTTCTTTCAAAAAAAGTTTTATTTAGCAACACAATTTAGTTCTATAATAAAAATACATATTTCGCATAAAGTTTATTTAATATTATATTTATATTACACATTATTAATGAAATTATTCATTAAATAGTAGGACTTAAAATTGATACAGTTAGTTTAATTCTTTTGTAAAAAATTCTAAAAAATACTAATAAATTTATATGTCACAGAATACGGTATTGCCACGCAGAGATTATGCTTCCAGCGAGGTCCTGATGACAACGAAGAGAGATGCGCTTATACCGTGTGGAATTACAAAAAAGTGTACATGTGCCTGTGTTATGGAGATCTTTGTAACGGAATGATGAAAACGACCATCGCTAGTAGTTTTTTAATAACATTATCTGTATGTTTAACACGGTGGCTTATTTGAGGATGTATATGATACTTCGTCTGGATGGATTAAAGTGATTAAACTCCCTGTGAATCCTTTATAGGAATCAGTACTCTGACGGATGTATGTTGTAGATGTATATGGTAAATGTAATATGTGTTTTTTATAATGCATACCTATCATAAAATAATCACAAGTAAGACGTGTTTTAATATTAAATGTATTTTTAGATATTTTTTATTTATTGATTAATTTGGTTAATTTGGAGTCAATTTGAGAAAAATGTACAAAAATCTGCCATTAAGCGTTGATGCAGCACTGGTGGGATATTCTATAATTATATTATTATTAATTATTATTTTAAAATATAATCTTGAATATATCATTTCTGTTCCCTCCGAAAATACACATTAGTTTCTAATTAGTTACATTTTGTTATAGTATGTCCATGAAATTCTGGAAATTGTAATAAAAAAATATTACGTACTGCAAAATTTAGCTCATGTTCGAATTTTTGTGCCCAACAATATTAAACGTAAATTATTTTTAGATTAGTTGTCCCTTTCTATCTTTCTTGTGAAATGGAGACCTAGGATTTATACTGCCCAAAATGTGTCCATGCAAACCATTCAGTCTCCTCTCTTCCTGATTTCGCAGTAACGCTCTTACATGAGGATAATTGTCGAAGAAAAGTTCACCCAATCCGTAGAGGTATTTAACTGCCAATATTGCTTCATGGCCGGTCAATAAATATGGATCTCGTTCTACAATTAGAATGAATCAAAATTACATGAAAACGAAACGATACACATTATTATACATACACACATAAAAGAAGATGGCAAATTAGGGTGTCATTTATCCAAAGCGTAAAAGTAGACTAGAAAGCATTAATTAAAAAGCGGATGTAGACCACTTTGTATTATAGTCAGCAAATCTCTGAAAAAAGATGGTCTTACGCTGTGATTTGTAGAAATCGGGGAAGCGTTGCGATACCTCCTGCCAGCTATATCCAAGATCATTAATGTCAGTTGGTGGCAGAAAAACCCCAATTGGCCACAGAGATTCAGCGTCTCCTGTACTCTGTATCACCTGCTGTAAGTGATTTTGTCCGAAACTCGTCCTATAATTATAATCTGTAAAAATGAACCACAGATATAAATTATTATCACTGATGTCGTTTAAAAGATATATTATTAGCTCTAATCGATGTTTGCGGATCCAATAAAAAGACTTGGATATTTTCTTCAAGTACGTTCTGCAAAATTATTTATAACAAATGTTTTTTACAACTTTATAGTTACATATGCTTATTATTCCTCAAATTTTAATCTTTAAAATGGAATAAATCGTTCAATTATATCTTGATCAATTGCTTAAACTTCAATTACTTTATACTTTGAGTAAAGATACATTAATTTAAAGTGCACTAGACCCGCAAATACATGCAATTAAGAAAATTTCGAAGCGAATACCGATTAGGGTTAATTCTGACTAGTACTCCTAATTAATTACACTAAAATAATTGTATACAAGTATAGAAATAAAATACTTACCGAGATCATTAGAATGCTTGGCTACGTTTCGTCGGCCGATCGATATAAACGATTTTTGGGCTACCGTTCGATCTCCTAAATACGAAAGCGAATGAGTTAAAGCATCTCAATTTGTTAATATAAAATATTATGACGTAATCAGAAGCTAACCGTCTGTTGTAACGCTATGCTCGTATACATTAGGTGGTGACACGAATTTCACGTGCACATTGGCGAGCGGTAAGGAACTGACCACAGTCACCGTGAGAAGCACCAACACCTGCACTGTCTAAAATCAAAATAGTAGTTTATTTTATAATTAATGATGTATCTTGTCATCAGAGCCGGATATTCACGAAAAAAAAACATGAGAAAAAGATGATTTAGAAATTCTAGAGCATATTTTATAGCTATAACTTTGGAGTCGATTTCTCCTCAGAAAAAATTTCGAACTTTTGTTAAAGTAAGATGCGTGAATTAAATTTCGTTGGAATATCTCTGTGTTACAAAACATATTACATATATATCCGTGAGTTTCTCAATAACTCAAAAAATTATATTATTTTACAATGTACGGTTACTGAAACTCAATATACATACATATGAAACTCAAATAGCTATCACAGAAAGTTTTCTTAGTAAGAATATATTATATTACACACTCGGGTTTCAAAGATATCACCTGATGTATGCGCGTATACAATTTCATAGAGATTTGTTTGCTAAGAAAAATAAAGTAGCTAACGGCAACGATAAAACTATTCATATGGTTTATTAATTCTAATACGAGTTATGCCCAGTTCCACAATTCGCGGTTAACTCTTAACCGAGGTTCAATTTGTTTTTATTATTAGCACGATTGTTTGTATTATTCAACTTGTAAAATATTATAATATTTATTAGTAACACGGTTGTTTGTATTATTCAACTTGTAAAATATTATAATATTTAATAATTATTGTATTATGCCGTCTTGCATTACAAGAAAAAAATTTACTCCAAATTTAATTGAGACTTTAAGCAAGGAGTTATGTTTTGTGAAACAACTTGGGGCGAGTACTTCGCAATCGCTATATATACGTCGACGACAGATAAATCTCTTTTTTGATGAATCACAATGCAGAAAATGGACTGTACACGAAACGTATCACAGAAATGTGTCAAGGTGGATTAACGTTTCTAAAAATCGTTCTATGCAGATGCATATATAGAATTCATTATGCAATAGCATAGGAAGAAATTATATAATTGTCGTCTTGTAATCTGCAAGAAGAAATCAATCTTCGAACTAAAACTTGTGAGAGAGTAATATTTATTGAATTTATATAAAAATGTGTGAATAGCAAAGATGTGTATATCGCAGTCATCCGTACCATCAAAAGAATTATTATTAATTACATCGTTGTACATCGTTGTAGTCCTCGATTTAGAAAGTTCGTATTTTATAGAGCTTTTTATGGGTCTTCTTTACCATTAACTTTTTAAAAATCATTATTACACGCTAATAAAATGTTTTATGCGCAACAACTTAATTAAAAAAATGAGATGCATAATAACTAGCGATTCACCGAATCGTAAAATTACCGGATACCGAATATCGGATATCCGGGCAGAATGTAACATCGGATATCCAAGAAAGCAATTTCTTCGAGTCGGATATTCGACACCGGAGAGGTTCCGAGAAAATGTCTTCTAAAAAAAAGCCTATAGAGAAAAAGATGTAATTTTGCGACAACGTATAAGATATTATAGCATTATGAATATGCATACTTATTTCTAGAACATTTGTATAAGAAAAAATCAACAATTTAATGATATCAAATTTCAACCGGATACCTCCTCGGATAATAGTGATATCCGGCTATCTGGTCGGATAGTAAAAAAAGTGCCGAATAATACCGGATACCGAATACTTTTCGGATATCCGGTGCATCCCTAGTAATAACGTTGATCCGTCAATATTCTATTAATTGTCACATTTTTATACCATCTTCTATGATCATATTTATCTTTTATGATCTTGTCATGATTATATTTATTTATGAAGAATTAAATCGGCCTTAAAAATCTGAAATATTTTTTATTTTTCAATATATTTTTTAGCTCTTATCGTATAAAATATCAACTCTTATCCAGATATAACGTACAGAAAAATTTTAAGAATGCATCTTATTACTCCTTAACAATTTCATAGCTATCAATTTCTAACTTATTATTCTTGCTTCTAGATTCTCTAAAGTAATCGGGAGTAATTTATTATAACATAAACTCTTGACGTAAACGTCGTAACACGTTACATCATTTCTACGACCTGCTTGCGGAACGGTGCCCTCCCTATGCGAGCATTACAAGACAGACTTTTCCCAGCAGGATTGGAATCAGCAACATTGCGCTTTGAAAGGCAATATTCTTCACGACCGCGAAAGTTACATTATATCTCCGCATGCCATCGATATTCCTACATCGCCTTAAGTGAGCACACCTACGCCTTTTAACAAAACGTGTGTATGCGCGCTGAGCTTATAGCCCTCGAGGAGATTCGGATTAAAACACACACATGCTCGGCAGTGCGTATCAAAACTCACCCTTTCGCCTTCCTTTCCGCTTACCTTCACTTGGAAGTACATTCGGGCGCTATTGAATCCGACATTTGAGATAAACAGTGCGGAAACTTCATGTGCATAAGTAGTATTTCTACATACATTGATAGATGATCGATCGGAGATCTGATGACTACTCTTCGACAATGGAATTTGCGAAAAGGTCGAGCTTCGAAAGGGCATGAAGTCTCTCTCGCGAGAAAGAAAGCTCATAATACACAATTAAAAATTGAAAAATTTCTCATGATACACATTTTTAATAGAACGTTACACAAAAGTAAATTAATTTATTAAATGAAAAGAAATTTGTACATCGTATAATTTTATATTGTCTGTTATAACTTCTTGATACGTATTTCATTATTTATTAACGTTTCATTATTAAGCAATTATATCTATATACCCAGGAAAAAGTGTTTGATATATTATTATACATAATTATATATAATTATAAACTTATATACAATTATTTATAATTACATATAAAATTGACATACTTTATAATTATATATATAATATGTCCATTATATAACATTTTTTCCCGAGTAGACAATGGAATCGAGAACAAATGTTTTAAATTTGAGTCAACACAAGTTAGTTTGGAATTTAATTTATTTTTGCATAATATAATTTTCTATTATAACCTCCTTGATATGTGTATGTCGTTCTTTCTAAATGTTTCATACATTATTTAAAAGTGATTTATAGTCTATAAATGTTGGATCGAGTACAAAACGTTTCAAACTCAGATGGAGACATTGCAATTAGTTTGCAACCTAATTTACTTTTACACAATGTAGTCTGATTAGTAAGAGTATTGACTCACAGCACATATGAATGGGAAAAAAATATATGTATTGCTGTAAACTGAGAGCGATCTCATTCTCGTGATGTACACCACGATTTGATTAAGTAACAGCGAGTTGCAATGAAGCAATTACATTGATTCACGCGCACACGCATGCATAAGAATTTATAAATCTGTATATATAATACGCCTGCTTACCCATGTCTACCTTTCTAATGATACATTAAATCCGTAGATAAATTAATTTATCGCGTGGGACTGTACTTACTCGATTCGAATCGTAATTATAGCGTCTCAGAAAGTGATGGAACAAATTAGCTTTACAATAAAGTTTCTTCTGTCAAAGGAACATTGTTGTGAAACTAATTTATGTTCCTTCCTATCTTTAAGTAAAAATCAAAATAGATAAGTCGCTTATGCAACTTCATCATCTTCTATTCACTTTTTCTCTATAAATTATGAGATAAACATATTTTTATATTAAAGATATTTATGATTTTCTATTGTAAACCAAGTCCCCTTCTTGGCTTGTATACGCTGAAGCGAATAAAATATTCTATTCTATGATTTTCTAGGTTTCGACACTAAATCGTTTTCGATTCTTATAAATATTAAAAATTGTATGAAACTAGTAAAAAATCGAGAATTTATCATTAATTTGGATATTATACAACATCATAGAAAAAATTCTGTGAAAATTAAATTATTCGAAACGTTTCTTTTTTTTCAAATTTCCATTTTTTTAAGCCTTTATAAAAATATATTTGGTGCATTTTATAACTAATAACTGATTCACTGAAATTTCAAATTTTAATATTAAATTAAATATCAAAATACAAATTCCACATCTGAATCTATTCTAAGGCCTGGCTTTTCAATCTGTTTCACTTGGTGAAACACCAATTTAAGTAAATTTAGACTTAAATTTACTTAATTTGATGATAATATAAAACTCGTGTTTTCTTAACTATGATTAATCATTATAAATTGATGGTTTTATAATGATAAAAAAAAAACTTTAAAAGTTACTTTTTATCACAAAATCATCAGTTTAGAGATTAATAAGTTCTGATTGAAATCATCTCTAGAACAATACAGTTTTTACATCATCAAGTTAAATCTAATAATTAAAGTTAATCAGAAAATGAAAAATCGGATCTGAACGTTTCTGGAATTAGAAAATTCTATAATTTTCATAATATTCTTAATTACCGCGAAGATACACACGATGAAGTTAGCTGCCAAATTAATTTAATCGTGAGCATCGTTCGTCACGATCTTTCAATAACGTGCATCCAAGTGAATATAGGGGTAAAGGGATTAAAATTCTTTAAGATTTTCTCAAATTGAACGCCGGTGCCTGTAATCACAAGTGAACGGTGAAGGAATTCTGCGAGAGGACACAGGTTCATCACTTCACCCACCGTTGTCATCGTCGAGTATCGATCCCTAGCAGGATCCCGATGAGACGAGCACGTCGCACACCCGCACGTATGGATCGGATCACAGTCACTGCGGCGAGAAGGATTTCTCTTATGGATTCGCGGGGACTCTAGGATCCAGCCGGATTTTCTCAAGACGCCTTGTGGATGCGGTAATAGGAACTGATCCAGGTCGCGGTGTGGAGAACGTCGGTGACCGCCGGCCCGTGCATGAATTTCAGCATCCCCCTTCTCGCCATCCGCGATACACATGCACGTGTACCCCACTTGCGTGTGACTCTCGAGGCACCGCGGAGGTTCCCGAGGTAATAAGGATTCTAACTTCGCAAGGGATCACCGTCGAGGTACTTTCATCTTGCCTCGGGAACGCACGGCTCGTGGATCAAATTAGTACGCTTGTGAAACAGACGTCGTCCGCGAACACGCCGTATTCTTCGTTCCCGCGGTCACGAGTTGCGCGGCCGAACCGACGATCGAATCGATCCAGAGGAGAGACGGGCCTGTCGAATAAGATCATATATATAAGTAAATGGAAAGTAATCTTTCGGGAAAAAATATTTTCAAAAATTTTATGACTTCCCCTAAACAAGAGAAGTTATATTTATAATTACAAAGAAAGAATTAACATAACGAATAAGTAATAATCAGTTATATTACATCCGCTTCTCTTCCACCTGTTGCGCTACGAAATACTGCCTGGGCATAAATATTTTATATATAGTTATATATAATTTTATATATTTGTATATAAATAGATATATTTTATACATAATTATGTATAAAATATATCTATTTATATACAAATATATAAAATTATATATATTTTTATATAATTTTATATAATTATATATAAAACATTTTTTCCCGGGTGGCTTATTCTCATTTCACTCTGAACAACATTTAAACTTAATCTACAGACTTTTATCTCTTGCTCTTTTCTCTAGTTGCGACCGTTTTATCAACATTCACGTTTTAATTGTTTCTTCCGAAATTTAACTTTTATCTCGAAAAACGAAGAAATAAAATAAGAATCGAAAAGGCAAGACGTAATAAATGGTAAAAAGCCAGCAGCAAGAAGCAGAAAGAACACACATTGTAGAGTAGGTTTTATAGATTTATATTATTAATCGAACTTTATATATATATATAATTAACTTAATCGGCGATTAAATTATCGAGCAAACCTGTATTGTTTTGTTAACATAGCTAGAATATAATTCATTTTATAATGGACGGATTGAAAGAAAGATTGGATTGGAAACAGGAAGTTATATAATTTTTTCTTCATACTTTTCTTTTTGCTGAGTAAGGGCCATCACACACAAAATGACATGGCATAGTTGCATAACCATAGCATAAGGCCCCTAGACCAAGCATTTGACATAAAGATGCCATTGATTTACATAAGATTTTCTTCTTCTGATTTCATGGCTCTCGCCGATGAAATAACGGCGATTCCGGTCAATTTACATAAGATGCTCATTGGTTTAAAGGCCATATGCTTTATTTATGTAATTTTGTGTATGATGGCCCTAAATAATCTAATTAAGTTTAGTAGTCGAAATCTATAAAATTGCAACTAGCGTCTTGCTATATAATATATGATGCTTTATACAGCGTGAAACGGGAAGCGAGTTAAAGATCGCCGAAAAATGCCAGTGTTGCGTATATTTCTTAAGCGAATTAGAGCATGTTAAATTGTCAAGATACTATCACTACACATTGTATATCCGACTTCCGCGCATATATGATTCAATTGTAATCAACAATCCATAAACGTTAATTGATTGTACCTATAATATAAGATTATTGTAAAATGCGAATTAATTATTGACATTGAGTTGGGGGTCCCCATGCATTAATTTTTGCCAAGTCCTCTGATGATTAGCGAACGATTGGTCTTATAGGACGATATTCTTAATCCGATTTTATACTTAAGTTCGATTTTAATTAGTATTAAGATTCCATTCAGTTAAAGAAATGACTGCATATATAACTTAACTCGAGTCTGAATATATCATATGTAGAACATATTTTATGTCGATCATATAGAAGATTCTTAGTAGCAATTAATTTATTGGCGATATATTGATTAAACGTTGGAGATAATATTGGACCAATATTTGGACAATATTGTGCCAATAATTATGCTATTAAGGTTCATATTATCTTTTATTAAACTAACGATTTAGCAATAATAATAAAGAATTAATTTTCTCCACAACAATAAATAGTTAATTTTCTGTTCAACTCCGGGAAAAAATGTTATATATATGGACATTTGCATTGAAGACGATCGTGAATATAAACGCCACCTTTAACTCCTCATTCTATCGTCGGTTTTTAAAAAGACAGTTTGAAAACCGGAGCGGTGTCACTCGCAAACGACGCAAACGTTTAAACGTTCGAATCGAAGCGCGCGTACGCCAACATGGTGAGATAACCGTCACCGGAGTTCCGGTCCGTCGCGCGCTAGTCGCCAGAGGATTTCGCGGGCGGCCGAGTTTATGGGTAATATTTCCCAAGATTCTTTGTGGCGTGCTTGGCGTACGGGGAACCGGCGAAAATTCAATTCACCGCGTGCGAACGAGCGTGCGGATTGCGTCGCACTATGTTCAATTAGTTATGTCATGTCATGTTATGTTGGCGTGGAGTCGCGATGACGCCTCGTCCCTCGTCGCAACGAGTCCTCGTCATGTCGCGCCGCCTTGCGATGTATCGGCCTGTCTCCACTCACGAGACAACCGTGCGCGAGGATGGCGAGGCACGTCGAAGCAGGACGCGGTTCTGCTTATCCGTCCACGACGCGTTTAGGAAGCGACGCTTGCCGACGCCGCACGTCTCGACGTCTCCTCGGGCCGTTGATCACGGCGCCGGCGACGACGGATTGTTAACCGTCACTGAGCCGGTCGGTCGTTGTTATCATCGCTTATCGCGAAAAATGGAAGATCCGTTTGTTTGATCGCGATTTCCGCGGTAAAGGTACCACGCGATCCTCGCTGCTCGGCATACAAAGCATCTCGAAGGGAGAAACGAAAATCGCGGACGGAATGTCTCCTTGTCCAGCATCATTAACATCTGTTAGTGAAAAATATTCTCTGTTTGCAGCTGGGTCATAATTGTAGGGGATTATGTCGGAGCAAAGTGCGGATTCTCCGAACTGCACCGCGAATCAGGAGGAGGAAGAGGAAGAGGAGATGATCTTGCAAGAGTCTGAGGTATATGGAAATTGATAACAATGATAACGTCATGTAGAACATTTTTATACGAATCGTTTCATATCATCTTTTATTAATAAAATAATTTAATGAATATTTGATTTTGTATAATAAAATTGTTTGTTTGTCCAATAATTAGTCTTATTGATTTTTTGTTCTTAACCTTTTTCCATATCTGCATTTAATATAATATATGATTTACTTTTAGGCTAATCCTGTAGATATTCTGGAATGTCTTTCGGTTATGATCAACGATAGCACTGGAAAGGACACTAGCCAGGTACAGGAGCTTATATTGGACGACCAGTTGCTTGGTACAATGGTGACTACAATTACATTGCCTGATGGGACTCAAGCTTTTGTTACGAATAATCTTGGTGACATTGGTTAGTAGCCATTTGAATTCAACTGTTTTTAATATACTTGAATATTACAGATAATACAAAAGAGTTATTCCTTTCAAAACAATTTGCATTTGAAAAAATATAGCTATTTGGACGTTCTATTTGTTTCATGGTATATCTATAATGAATTTGTACATTTACAGATCCAGATTTCAAGACACAAACACTACAAACACTTGAAAATGGAGATACTATTTTGCTACGAGATTTGTCGGAATTTGGCGATGGAAAGGCTCTTCAACTGGAATTAGATCCAGCTACGTTTGTACAAGCTGAAGACACTGCCACTGAAAATGTAGAAAATACGTATTCACAAGTAGAATTTATCAATGGCACTGCGTACATGGTGGCTGGCCATGTGGATGTAGATGAAAATTTATGGGAAATTGAAGACGGAAAGTTAAAGAAAAAAGATCCCAAGATTTTAATCAACAAGATATCCGATGTAAAAGTTAGGTATCCTTGTCCTAGGGAAGGATGTTCAAAGGTTTACAGCACGCCCCATCATCTCAAGGTAATCAATTTTTCAGTACGAATACTTGTAAATAATGAATTGAAAGATCTCATTTAAAGCGGTATTCATAGTCAGTTCTTATTTCAAGATTGTCTTAAGTAATGTCTTAAGACGCTAATGCGGCTCTTCTGATTGGTTCGTAACTTCTTAAGACTGTACTTAAGACGGTCTTGAATATAAGATCTGACTATGAATACCGGCCTTAAATATTTTCAATTAGATTTACTAAATGCAGTATTTTTAATTTTTTTTTCTGTAGGTCCACGAACGTTCGCATACTGGTCAGAGACCATACAGATGTACTCATCCAAAGTGCAAAAAGAGCTTTTCAACCGGTTACAGTCTGAAAGCGCATTTACGGACGCATACGGGCGAGAAACCGTACAAATGCACGAATGGAACGTGTAATAAAAGCTTCAAGACGTCGGGCGATTTGTTAAAACACGTGAGAACTCACACGGGAGAACGTCCCTTCGTATGTCCATTTAACGGTTGTGGCCGATCGTTCACTACAAGTAATATTAGGAAGGTACGGGATGCTCAATGTACGATACTTGTTAAAATATTTTATTGCGGAAATAAAGGTTAAATAAAGATTTTATGCTTATCAGGTTCATGTAAGGACGCACACTGGCGAGCGACCGTATAAATGTACGCAACCGACGTGTGGTAAAGCATTTGCTAGTGCGACAAACTATAAGAATCACATACGCATACATTCAGGCGAAAAGCCCTACGTTTGTTCCATAGAAAACTGTGGTAGAAGGTTTACCGAATATTCTAGTCTATATAAACATCATCTTGTAAGCATTTTATATCAATTATTAATCAGTTATTAATAAGAGTACAATATTCTAGAATACAATACTCCAAGAATCTTGCATGTTATCTCTAGATATTTTTGTCTTCGTAGGTACATACACCACAACGACCATTCGAATGCACACTATGCTCCAGGAAATATCGTCAGAGTAGCACGTTGGTGATGCACAAGAGAACAGTTCATGCCTTGGTCGATAGTGACGATGGTGCCGATACATTTTTGCAAGACTCTCTTGAATCCTCTAGTCAAAATAAAAACAAAAAGAAGACCGTAAAAGAAAACGTAAGTATAATGTAAAATCTAATTTATTAATTATATATGTTTGTGCAGTCCGATATGATTATGCAACTAATAGATCTTAAATTTAGCATAAGCTGCTAGCGAAAGACAAACAGATCCACCAGATTTCTAAAATGATCGATGACGCGAACGAGAAAGAACCACAAATTTTGTTGGTAGGCGATCCTTCGCAAATCGCTGCATTACAGGTTTGTATAAAAACTTGGTATATTTTTACGATAAATCTATTCTAGATAATTATTAGCGAAAAAAAAGGTTTTTTAAATTCATTTATTAAAAATTTCAATTACAGAAGATTGATTTGGACGAAAGTTTTGATGATCCTGGCATTGATACGACATTCGAAGGATTGAATATAAAAATCGAAGACATAGAATTTGGATGGAACTAATGTACGGAGAAAGGAATGCGACTTTGTAAGTATGAGCAAAGTCTTGAGCATTAAATATTAATCTTGTTAACATTCATTCATGGATGTGCTAATATCAGAGCGAAATCAAATAAGTAAATGGAAATTAAAAATAGTGTCAAACCATGTTTGACCGCATAAATAGTGCGGTAACAGATGCGAGCTAAGATTTAAGTTTCTTATCAGTTTCATAAATTCATCAGATAGGAATATATAGTAACACACATCAATGATTTTTAATAATAATGAATAATGATTGGTGTACGATTTATATGATCATTGGCATAAAGTGATGATTAATCTAACGTGATGGATTAAATATCTAATGCAAATATATATAGATATGCTAAGACATATTAAAAAGGATTTTAAGAAAATGTGTAGTATTTCTTGCGTCGAATCTAATGATCTCCGATCAAATGAGTGGATTCATACTGTAAACGTAAACGTGCAAGGTAAGATTTATTTCAAAAATATATACAGGAGAGATCAATATTTACACAATATGTGATTACGTTCTTGAACTAAAGGCAGTGCCTTACCTGAAAGTGTGAGTGTAAAAGAAAATATATGTACTATATCACATTTTGTCCATCTATAGTTGTCGAGCGTGTATGTAATATTTTTATGTAACAATTTACATCGTTTTCTTCACGTATTCAAAATTATAGACTGAGTTATTTGTTTTTTATTAATTTGAGACAAAGATATATTTTGACTCAACTTTATTATAGAGATGTTTGTATTCAGTTTTATTAAAAGAGCAACTATTAAAAAGTTAATAATTTCATTAGCAATTTATGAATTACGTTATCATGTAGTTTTATTTTATTTTCAAATTGTGTGACTTTAAGGCATTTTAATTTTATGTAGAAATAATTATCATGTTATTTTTACTCTGTAAGCAAAATGTTAACAATACGCCAATAAATTTAAATAGGATATTGAGGCTAATTGGCATCAATTGTATCATAATAAGCCCGTATTCTACCAGATATGTTAAAAACAAATTTTGCAAAGTAATTGCTACAAATTTTGTTGGCAGAAATATAGCAATATAATGACAGAATTGATTACAAAATTTGCTATTTTATAATTATATATTTAAATAATATATTCCATTTGAATATAAAATATATTCTGCTTAGTTTCTGCCAACAATTTGCTATCAAATTGTGTCAGCAAGTTTTGGTTGGTACAATACAAGCTTATTGTGACATAATTGATGTCAATCTGTCTCAATATCCTGTTCGAATTTGTCAGCATATTGTTAATATGTTATTTACTGAATAATTTTAATATTGCGCTGCTGAATTATTTTCAAAAATCAAGTGAATATGTTATGTATTTACAATTTGCAATGTAGAAAATGCAAATCAATTTTAGATAAATTATATTATTTTTTTCTTTAAAGAAGACAATACGAATTGCAGCATAATTGATAATGTGTGTGAAAAATATTATATATATAACGAGTCCGATGAACGAAAAAGTTCATTATGTTTAATACTACATTATTGTCAGAATTAATATAGGAATACAGACTATATTATGTGATGGCATACTTAACAATAGATGGATAATAACATTTATATCATGTATTAGCGTTTCAATAAGGTCGAAAAAAAATGTATTATGTTTTGTATCTTCATTTTTTTGAGAATTAAATTGTTTTTTTATAAATACCATGAATACCATAAATTAATTTTTCGTAAATATATTTGTGTAAATAAATGTGTTTAAGTGAATTTGGTGAAAATAAAAAATGCAACATTTGATCTAAAGATTAAGAAAAATATAATTAAGACTTAGGAAATTAAATTAATCTAAATTTAAAAAAATATTTTGAAAATTATATTAAAATAATAACATAAATTATATTATTTCACCTTTCGAATAAATTCAATACTTTTCTTCGATCGAATTCTCATGGCTAAAAAAGGAACTATTATTAGCGTTCGGTCGCTGATTAAACAGACGCATTAACACGACTAAGTACGAGACGTGAAATGTAGCAGATAATATAGTTATATACACGTGATCGAAATGGCTGGCCTTGTATTAAAAACGAATTGAAGCGATATGCTTTTTAAAATTTTGAGCTTTTTTTATATTCTTCTATCTTTAAAAGTAGACGATATAATCATTAATCACCAAATATGCATTTGCAACTGGTTTTTTTGTTTAGTTACATTGAAAATGTTTTTCTCTGTTCCCTTATATTTTTACAGCATCTAACATATCGTTTAAGAAGATCATTTTGATGATCAATATAGAACTTTCGGTCCTCCCACCATCCACACGATCTTTCGTATAGTGCTGCTCTCGATTACGGATAGTCTCCATTCGGCCAAGTACTCGATCGCGCTCATCCATCAAACTGGCAGATAACTAAACTTTTTATAACAACGGAATCTTTCACTTTTGTCAATAGAATTTTAATCCTGCTGTCCGAAAATAGAATTCAAAGAGTTCCGCGACTGTGATTATGAACATTATTACAAAATGTGGATCGTCGCTTTAACGCAGATATGTTCGACGAACAGTATACAATGGATGAGACAGGTGGGTATTAAGCGATTAAATAAGACGATAAAGGTAAAGTAATAATATCTTAGGATTAACATTGTTAATGTTCAATATATGTGTGTGTAAAGGATCTTTTATTTATATCTACATCGAAGTGGAAAATTTATATTTGACATATCCATATATATATTCAGATATCGATTATATGATATTGTTGTGAAACTTAATATCACTATTGATGAATTAGGATAAAAAATATTATCTTATTTA